TCCACTTGTTCTAATCTTTTTTGAAAATGTGGGTCAAAATTATGCCTGTCACTTATTCATTTCAATGAGATTCCAACAATGTTCTTAGTAAAAAAGAGACAAAAATAAAATATCTATCAAGTACTGATCTTCTAAAAATAAATGATTATTAAACAGAAGCAAATTCTGATTAACTTCAAACTAACATAAGTTGATAAATACTTTACATTTGGACAAAGTTAGAGTAGTTCTGATCTCCTGAGTTTGCTTACTTTCAGACTAGATATAGCCTACATCATTAGGGAAACGTTCCAAAAATACCAAATGACTGTGAGCCCACATTTTTTTATCTGAAAAATGGTGGGGCTGCTCAGTGTTTATTTTAATAAAAAAAACTTTCATATCTTATTTGTGATAGAAAATTATGAAATAATTTTGGTTGAGTTCCTTTTAGCATTCCAAACAATTTTTACATCTCCTTTATATTGCATGTAGATTTCTGCCTCTAAAAATTTGCTAACAAAGAGAATAAATGATGAAAAAAATGGCCCAAACTGAAGGTTTAAAATAAATTTTTATAAAAATGAAAAAAAGCTTTCATTTTACCTTTAATTGAAAGCTAAAGGATTAAATTTACTATTCCTAGTAAGCAAAATACTCTGGTGTATTTAAAACAGAAATTATATTGATTGGAATCAATTTTTTGTTCTTTCCCTAAAATATCTGATTAGTGCCTCTTTTTTAATTGTCTTTCAAAAAATCTTCCAAGAACAAAATATACTTCTCTGAAACTTTATTTGAGTAATATTAGATGATTTAAAAAAAATATTTACTTTAAGTTTAAAATAACACAGAAATGACTTTTTAAAACAAACAGCAGTTGTGATTTTAACTGACATCACCATGTCTTATGTAATTGGCAATGCGATGATAGATTCATTGTTGTTGTTCTATGGAAACATTATCTGCAAAAACATGATTCAAGAAAATGATGTGAGCACCTTTTTTATATAATTTTTAAGTACTCAGTAATCTTAAAAATGTTAGAAAATACTTTCCATAATCTAATTTTAGAAATGTTTATTTTAAGTTTACTATAGCCATCACTCTTATTCTCTGATAATATCATGTAAGGTTGACCATACTTTCAAAACTGGGCACATTACATAATATATACATTTAAAAAAAAAAAAAAAAAAAAACATTAAAAATTATTTTATAAATCTTGGTGCAAAATGATTTGTATTAAGCTTTTTCAATTTTTGATTAGTAAATATAGTTTTTGCCTAATGACAATATCACCTAACGAGATTAAACTAATGTAGAATTTTTTTTTAAAATTTGAAATTATTAAAATTTAAAAAAAAAAAAAAAAAAAAAAAAAAAATTAAATTCTTATAATTTTTTTTTTAAGACAAAAGTGTCCTTAATACTTATTTATAAAAGCAATTAAAAGCTTTTAATTAAATAATGCCAGTTTTATTGCATTTTTGTTTTTTACGATTTCGAGCAGATTTTTGGGAAATGAGTAGCAGTTAAAAAAAAAAAAAAAAAAAGAAAGTAAAAAAAGAAAAACGATTTACATTCTCCAAGGAGTTCTGCTTTTAACTAGTAAAAAAAAAAAAAAAAAAAAAAAAAAATATTAGAGGATGGAAATTTAATTTTTGGAAATTAAGTGTGTGTGTGTGTGGGGGGGGTAACAAATGCAAAAAAAAAAAAAATATTAAAAAAAATAAACATTTTTTTTACCAAGATTTTCTAAAACAAAAAAAAATAAATTTAAAAAATAATTTCATTATTTGTGAATAAGTGCTGAAAGTTTTATTTAAAATCCGACAATTATTTGATTTTTGTAAGAATTTCCAAGTCAACGATTTTCACCTGCAAAAAAAAAAAAAGTCACTGACTAAAAAAACAAAAATAAATACTACGTCGATCGCTAACGCAAAAAAAAAAAAAAAAAAAAAAAAAAAAAAAAAAAAAAAATTTTCAACTAAAATTTTGAATGTGGTAGAAAGGATTAAAAAATTTAATAAAAAAAATACTTTGGTCTTTCCTCTTAATAGCAAACACTTTGTTTGACGACAAAACTGTTTTTATTAAGTTTGGGGCTTTTTTCATCATGTTTTCAATTTTTTTTTTTTCATCGAAGAGGTGGAGGTACCTATTTTTTAGAACCGTGAAACTATTTTAATATTATTTGTAAACAATCAGACACAAAAGATATCAATGTTCCGAACCAATAATTCCTGCTTTTCTTTTTTCACAAGTCCTCTAACATTAAAAGTGTCGATGGTAAAATTTTTATATGCAATTGGAGGTATTTAAAAAGTTTTTGTTGACAACTGGAAAAGTTATTTATTTACCTTCTCCGCCAAAAGTCAAATCAAATATTTCTGGGGAAAAAAATATAACCTTACATACAATGTCGAAAAAATGTTAGATTTTCTAAATTTTGCGAAATCAAACAAAAGATTACGATATATCGGAAATCAAAAACCAAAAGAAAAAAAATGAGTATCTCACCATCCCAAATTAATTTTAGTTAAACGAGAAAGTCGCAAAGCCATTTTCTGCTTCAAGGAGACAGATGAACTCTCTAAACCAAAAAGTCATAAAATTAGTAAACGGTGCAAAGCCAAATATTTTCCAGTAGAAAAATCATCCGAGTAAATATTAAGCACATCTAGTTCTTGGACTAATCCAACTTTGGCATAAGGACAACTTTCTAGAATACCCAGTTATAATGACTTAGTAGCCTGTTATTCACTCTGGCAATTTCTTTTAATAATCGGATTCAAATTAAATTTGCAAATAAATACCTTATCTATGGAAGGTGTGTAAGGTAATAAATCTTAAATTGGCTATAAAACTATATTTTAGATTTAAAACCATGCAGAAAAATTATTTCATTTTACTTTAATAATCTAAATAATTCTTATTTCTTTTACAAAGATATGTGTTAAAAGAATCATTCTTAGTTCTGCCATTTAACATCCATGTTGACATTAAATTTTATCTTGGATAAGTAATTAATATACATTTTTTTTCAAAATGCTATCCATTATCCACCAAAGCTGTAATGATTGGAAGAAAAATATTTTTTATGTCCTGTATTCCTTCAGGATATATACAATCATGGCTCACTTCAATATGTCCTGTTAGTATCAGATTCCTCAATCCCTCCTTTCTCATGCGTAAGTTTCAACTGTCTCTTTTTGATTCTAAGTGTACTTTTCTTGTCTTCATTTTCCTTACTTGCTACTTACATCTTCAGTCCATAGTATTCTCAGCACCCTTCTGTAGAATCACATATCCATTGCTTCAAGTCTCCTCTTCATTTGCCAGTAAATTGTCCAGTACTCACAACCATATATATAAATTTATATAACAACAGTTCAGCACTCTTTTTTTTTGTTTCTAACAAATTGCTGCTGTTTCTTAATACACTACTTAGCTTTTGAAAGGCATCTTTTACTATTCCAATGCAATTAATAGGAGTGCTATGCAAGAAAGTAATATTCATGGTATACATTTCCCCCATTATGGGCATTATTTTATTGATGATATAATAACACCTTGATAAACAGACGGAACAGAATAGTCAAAAAAAAAAAAAAAAAAAAAGGAATGACAAACATGTTTTGTTCTCAAATAGGTTTATACTCAAATAGTTTTAGTCATACACAAAATTATATACAGATATTTACACAGGTCCCACACAGAGAAACTATAACACATGTAGACAACAAAAGCAGTGTGAAAAAGAGGCAAAAAGAACCTTACTTGTAATATTTCCCAAAAGGAAAGCTGGCAGTATATTGGTTTCTCTATGAACCTGGTGAGGTCATGTGATTTTCACTGTGGGCTCATGATATCCTTCTTTTCTTTTTTACATCACAGTTCATCTTCACCACTCATTGGCTAGCTTGTGTTCCTCAGTGAAGATAAACAACTTTTGTATCCCTACACATTTTTTAGATTTTGGTCTCGCATTCATATATTTTGTGCTTCTCTTTCTGCATTGGTTAGGATAAGTGAACAAAGAGGATGTGAATTTTGAGGAGGAAAAAGTTTTTTTATGAGGAAACAGCACTTTTTAAATAGTAAACAAAAATTAAATTATCATGGAAAATTTACTGACATTTAATTCTTTGTTTTACTCTAAATGTTATTTTAAAAATGTTAGAATTTATATTCTGGCAGGAGTATCTCAAGAGTCTGAAGTAATTATCTGACTCGTATCATGTTAAGATCTGTTTTGGTTGGTTCACAATTATTGGGGCCCAGTTCTGCTTGCAAGAAATAACTGCATCGAAAACAAAGTTCAACAAGTGCTTCCCTCTCTACCACCAAAAATAGTTGTGAAGATTTTGTTTTCTATTTAGCAGTTTTTATTTTTTCTTTATCAATGTGTGGATAAATACCTGTACCTACAGCAGGTGATACTAAGGCTACCCACATACAGGGTGCCATGGGTAAACTGTCACCATTTTATATTTTTAATTTTATGCATGCATGTTGTTTGTTTTTCATTTTGTCAACTGCACAGTTATAGTTGGGTCAGTTGGGCACCATCCGTGAGAAAAAGAGCACCATGACGTAATTCACTCTGGCAAAAATTTGGAAATGGCATGCTGTACTGCTTGGCATTCATGCCAGAAGCTCCAATATGAACATTCAAGGATGCTTGGGTGTCAATCTGAGGAAATATCATCAATTTGAGGATATATCATCCAACTCTTTCTGAGTTGGGTGATATATCCAGTCAACATCATGTTTGGAGTGATCACTAGTCATGCCTCCATTCATCATCCTCAAGACTCAACATGGGGGCCTACATCAAGTAGTAATACAAGTTTTACTAATTAACCCATAGATCGGGGAGAAGAGATGAATTCATAACTTTCCAAAGGGTATCTGCATGTAAATAATTATAACGAACCCACGTGGAACTGGAACTTGGCTCTCTGATTAACAATTTCAAGCCATTATCCATTACACCACCCACACATCCAAACTTACATCACCTGGTATTCTCAAATGGTCGCCCACCTAAGTACTGGCCAGGCTCAACATTGTTTAACTTTGGTGATTGTACGAGTACCAGTGTTTCAATGTGATGTGGCTGTAAACTCAGTTCTGCTGGTGAGTTGCACTATGACTTGGCCTTTAGTAAAGAACACTATGGTCAGATCAAAAAGGTTAATAAATGCTATATTTTAGCATCTAATTTCAACTCTTCTTATTGATAACTGCATTGTTTCTTTCTATGTAAGCTGACATGTGACTATTCAAAGAAAACTGTTCATCCTGTTGGTCAAAAAAGTCAACAGCTGATATGATGTCATCATCACTACAATACTGGTTTCCAGCCAAGTGGTTTTTCATGTTGGGGAACAGATGATAATCGAATCAGGAAAACAGAGAGGGTGATCAACCAGTTCAAAGCCAGTCGTGCACAGCGGCCATTGAAACTAAGGACACATATTAGAGCATTGTCCTGATGAGACAAGACACCTTTCATCAGTTTTTCTGAGCATTTCATCTTGATAGTTTTTCATAACTGCCTCAACAAGTTGGCATAGTACTCTCCATTGAGGGTGTGGCCCTTTTGAAGATAGTCAATAAACAAAATGCCATTACTGTCCCTGCAGATGAAATGACCTTGTGTATTTTCCACTGCATGATATTGTCTCTTTGTCTCAAAGTGATGAACCCAACACTCATCCAGGGTTAGGAAACATTCAAGGAAACCAGCTGGTTCTGCTTCTAACAATGTCAGATTTTCTTGCAATATGATCAGCCTGGTGTGCTTTTGATCAGGTGTCAGAAGACATGGCACCCACCGATCAGAAACCTTCGTCATGCCAAGTTCATTGTGCAGAATATTCTCAACTCTCTTATGAGATATGCTCTAATAGCATTGTCCATTTGATTTATAGTCAATCGCTTGTCATCCATCACCATGTGGTGAACATGATCAATGTTTTCCTCAATGGTGGCAGTTGCAAGAAGTCCAGACCTTGGGTCAAATTCAAGACTCTCCCTTACACTTCTAAATTCAACTGCCCCCTTTTGCACTGTTAATAAAGCTGGAGCATTATCCCCTAATGTAGCAACCATGTCAGCATGAATGTCATTGGTGGCTAAACCCTTTTTCTCTAGGTACTTGAAAACAACATGATGCCAAATTTTCTTCATTTTCAAGAGCAGTAACTACTAGTTACTGTTAATGTCTTCTTTGAACAGTCAGATGTCAGTTTACCTGGAAAGAAACAATGCAGTTATTAATAAAAGTTGAAATTAAAGCATGCAAGATTTTACAGCTCTAGAAACAATCCTTCATAGTCAACCCATAAACTTTTCAGCCCAACCTCATAAAAAGTTGTCTGTATTATAAACATTGTTCATAATTATTTGTTATTTTTTGATGGAGTTCTGATACTCAAATTATTTATCAAAGTTTGGGTTGACAAATCATTCCTCATATCTATCAATAGATTTATTTCCAAGGCATTATCACACTTGTTGATCATACTATTTACCTGAATTATTATCTAACCTAAAAGAAGTAGAAATTAAAGTAAAAATTATCAACCACATGTTACATGTGTTCTAATTGGTTATAAAATAAAATCATAGCTTGATTTAATGAATTTAAGCACAGTACTAGATTAGCCATTAGGGCTTCTTATTTTACTGTTGAAAATTGGCAAAATGTTGGCTAAATGTAACTGTAAGTTCTATTCTAATAGTTTCTTCTCTTGCACTTCTTGCCTGTGGAACTCTCTTTTGGTTTATTGATTTCCTATCAACTATGATGTTCAAAAAATTAAAAGAAATGTTAATTGTCATCTTATATATCTTTTTATTGTCTGCTCTTTTTATTGTTCTTTCTTCTCAGTAATGTTTTCTCAGTTTCCTTCATTCCTAGTAACCCCTTACGTCATTGTGGTTTTATCACCTTGCTTGGAGAGAAATGATGAAAAAAAAAAAAGAAGGAAAAAAGAAACTTTCTCTAGTCATGCATTAGACTGCATAGAAAACAGGAATATCAGTGTTTTAAATATTTATACTTAACAGATAATGAAGAAAATAAAAATGCCACTTATTAATATTCACTTATCTAGTTGGTGTTGCTTATTACTACAACACGACAGCATATCTTTGTAGCATTCACACTTCAGAAAATGAAATGAAAGTGACAAGTATTGTAATTCAAGGGAGACAACTCTACTTTTCTTAGATACTAAGACAGTCAATCATCAAATGACAAAAAAATGCTTTCTGAGTCAGGGAATCTTCGCAATCTTTCTGGTTAATAAATGAATCCTTTGAAAGTAAATATTTAACATTTTTCAGCCAAAGAGTCGTGTTCATGCTGACAATAAAAAACAAACTTTGTGATCCCTTTGTAGAGTAAGCAAAGCTTCTAGACCAGAAGGAGATACATGCAATAACATGGCAACAATGCAGCTCCAAAGAGATTTCCTTACTCATTCACCTGTCTTCCTCACCAATCTATGTGACACTTACACTCTTCTTCACCAAGCTGTGACATACTTTCCTCTTCACTTACTCCCTTGCTTCTCTTTTTACACACATACATACAGAGAAATCATATTTTTTTTTCATTTTAACAGCTACAGACAAGGAACTTTGACACAAGAACTTTAATATTTGTACATCTTGATAAAAATTTACTTGTAAAATCATGAATATAAAGATATTTGATCAGGTCTCTCCACAGATTCCTTTTTTTTTTATCTGTGAATTGTCATGACAATAAAAGTCTAAAATTGGGGCCATAATTTGCATGTGAAAAATGGCAAGTTAAAAATTGTATATGTTGTTTATTGTTTTTAATTATTTTCAAATCCATTTTTTGATTTTTCTCGAAATATATATTCAGATATATATTCCCATTCATACAGATACTTGTTGGTTCCTTTTTTTTCTCTGAGAAAATGCTTTTTAGGTAAAGACAGATATTCTTTATTGTTTGAGTATGAAAAAAAAATGAGCCTTTTCTGAAAGATATTTTTTCCTTACAGTTCATTTTAGGACATCTACAAATACATCCATCAGAAGAACTTTTGGATTCCAAGGTCCTATTGCAGCAACAATCTTCACAAGTTCTTTGTTCTGAAATTAACTTCTTTTCTTTCAAAAAGTTCTAACAAATTTCCTATTTTCATTTTTGCACATGTGAATTATGGCCCCATTTCGAGACTTTTACCACCATGTCTTCTTAGGAAAGATAGTGTAGTATTAGAATTTAATTTGAGAACCACGACTACAATGTTTTATATGTTCTAGACTCTTTTCTGATCTTTGCCCCACCTTTCACCCCTGCTTTCAAATATGGCTCCCAAAGCTTTGATCCTTATCAGAGATAAGAATATATTTTCTGATAAATGAGAGAGCTGGAAAATATAAAAATGGAATTTGACCATCCTAGCCCTGACCATGGTACCATAAAGTTGGAAGTGGAGATATGTGGATATAACGCTCACTACTTGTCAGACCCTTGCTTCTAAAAACCAGCTCCTAAAACTTTTATGCTTATCAGACATAACAAGATATTTTCTGATGAATGAGAGCGCCGGGAAAATGTATAGCAATTTTGGAGGAGAAAGTTCCTGATATTTCTTAGTCTTCTAATCTTGATAAATACTGAGAATATGTGCCTCTTTGGCAGTGAGTACTTGATATCATCTGTGATAACATCAGGTTGGCAACAAAACACCAGTCATCTTCGGAACTTGTTTCGAGGAAGAAATTTACATGCTGGACTCTAAGGACATCTACTAAAAACTAATTGAGATCTGCTTCCATGAACCTAGAAATTCCTGTCATAGGCCTACGAACTCACTCAACTACAAACTACAGATCTTCCGATTCTTTCCCCCTCAACAAGAGCTCTGAAGAAATCTATGTGAGTGTTTAACCCCTTATGAACAATTTACTTGCATAAAGAATTTTTAGGTGATCAGAAAAATACATTGAGCAATCCTTTATGTACACTTTTTCTTCCTTTAAGTTAAAGGAATTTTTTTCTTCCTTTTTTCCTCTCATATTTGTTTATATTCCTTTACCTTTTATCTTTGTGTATGTAAATAAACATTTTCTTCTATGTTACACTCCGAGTGAGCAGGAGTTTGGGTCTTTATTCTTCTGCCTAAAAGAGAGAATTGTCCATTCTAAACTTTCAAGCCGTTATTCAATTGCTTTTATCAATTCTGTCACATTTAACACCCTTTCATGTGGGGAAAGCCAGGACAAATTTCTCACAGGAGTGGTTTCCCGTTGCCTTCTCCCAGAAGCAATGAATTTTTTATGCCTTTCTCAAAAAGTAATTATTGCGATACTTGCAATCCCACCAGCAAGTAAAAAAAAAAATAAAATACAAAGCTTCTTCTTTCCAATTCAACCAAGTGTCAATTTATATCATGAATCGTTTAAAACCTAAACTTTGATTTGCTGAAAAAAAAAATGTCACCCTGTAAAAAGTAATTCTTATCTTACGAATGTTAGTAATATGAAAATCAGAAACTTAGAGAGGTTGGACCTTCCCGTTGATAAGTCATTTCTTACATTGTTACAGATAGCGTCTCTTTTTAAACGAAAATAATTACACTTATTTTTGGGAGTCTATGATACTTTCCCTACTACTCCAAGCCAAAGTTATGACAGGATTTCTTTCTCCACAAACAGAAAATTTTATTAAATTTTTTTCATTAATAATTTTATTTCTTCTTACTATTTTCCTCATTTAAACTAGTTTGTCAGTAATTTGAAAAGTTATGTTATTAATTTTAAGCACACATAACGAAAATGTTTTGAAAAGTTTTCACTTTTAATTTCAAACTAAAAAAAAATGTCTTATTGATTTGAAAAAAATAATATTTTTCTTCTTTTTTCTTTCTTTGTATGCAATTTCAAAAAACGAACAAATGAATACTACAGAATACAGATTGTACATCTTCATAAAGCTAAAAATAGAGCACAACTTGTTAAACTCTTGGGAAGTTTATCAGGTAAAAAATGTCTAAATATTTTTTTAGTATAGCATTAAAACTTACAGGTAAAATGCGACAAAGTCCCTGCATGTAAATACGTTAAAAA